CTTCAAAGTGTGCACAAACTACTAACATAAAAAAATGCTGTGCTTGGCAAATAATTAAAGACCAAGAAGATAGTTAAAAATGAATTTAAGATAGAGCCATTTCAACTGAACTTTTTATTTAGTATGGAAGAACCAACCACCTTTCATGTTTGGGGGTATCTTAACTTTTTCTCATTCGTGAATAATTGTCGGATGAGTGGTTTTGTTTCATCAGCTGGGTTCCGTTTGAAGTTGGTGCCTGTGGGGAACTTTCACATCTCCTCCCTCGGGCACCCTGGGAAGGACACAGCCGGAGCAGAAACCGAAGACATACCGCCGCTTCACTCTAATTATTTTAGTTTCAAGCTCAGCATATACCACCGATGTTTACCGGGTTCAGTGTGATAATGGCGTCAATGCCTGTACACGGTGTACAGTGATCAGGGCCACTATCACCTGTTGTTATGACTACTATTTTATGCTCTCCTATGTGCGCAGTTTCTTTTTGCTTCCACTCGCTATATATACTTTTCCATGCTTGTCTTTGTCACTTAACACGATGTCCCTGGGAGAGCTTTGTCATTTAGCATAATGTCCCTGGATACCAACAGCCTCTTTTGACTCTTTCTTCTGATCACAGATCCCGTGTTCACACATGATCTCATATTACTCATTCATCCATTTGTGGTTTGTTTGACTGCTTTTTCACCCCCAATTGGCAGGAACTGTCTTTCCTTTTCACTGCTCTGTGGCCAGCGCTTTCACCAGTGCATAGAACATGGAAGGGGCTCAGAAACTGTTGGTGTGGTGAATATTCTATTTTTAACATCCTCAGTTCTCACCATGGTTAAGGGGTGTTGCTTGGGAGGTGACTAAACCAAGGCCACCTGACTGGGTGTAGAGAAGGGCTCAAATCCAACAAGCCAACACCTGACTAAAGATGTGGTGCCTGCAAAAGTTGAGCCCCAGGAATATGGACACACAGTTTACTTTGGAATTAATTCCATGGAGAAGGAGGGAAATATTATCAAATGTGCCGACCAGGCACTATGGAGTTGGCTTCTACCCTTCATCTCTCCATGGTCCTCGAGGAGCCCTGTGCGTCTCGGAACTTTTCATTTGTGGGGATGAAGGGTAGACAATTCTCCTCCAGTAACCCAAGGTAGCAGTTCTAGGAGATGTGTGGTTCCCTGAGGGGAAGTGAAGTCCAGATGCGGCTGTGAAACCCCTTGGCTTTGCAATATTCACCACAGCAGCTGCTAGAACAAGAGAGAACTGGGCTGACATTTTCAGTGTAGCTCAGGACATTATCTGCAGTATCTGTACTCCGTTCCTGTTGGTAACCACTGGGTGGTGCTAGAGCATTTTACAAAGGACTTCACCTTGGTGCAATAGCACGTAGGAGTTATAAATATTTGTTCTGTATACTTGAAAAATTAGCTGTAGGTATTCGCAGATCTGTTAACAAGCAGGAAACACACTCATTTCTAATCCTGAGTCAAGAAAAGAAACACGAGTCAGACTTTATGAGTCCTGTCAGAAAATGGGAAGTTTTTGAACTAGGTTAGTGAGCCATTTTCTGTGGGGAAATTGAGAAACTCATTTCCAGAAAAATGATGAGATAATTACAGTTGATGCTTTTGCATGAACCATTATTGGATTAGTCACGTTATCACAAATTAGAAACTCCCAGCCTGGACAGAACTTGTGGCCTCAGATAGTATGCACTTTGCATACTATCAGCATTTATTTGGTTGAGTAAGAACAGTATGATTTTGAAAATGGTTCACTGAAAAATTTTTTAGCCTGAAGCATAGTTAACATCCAACAAAGGATAATATTGGATGAAATCTTATGTCTAAAATGGATGTAAATCTGCAAAGGCAAACAGTTGAGTTGCTTCTATACTGAGGACAGGAACTTGGCCTCAGTCATATTACAATGGTTTCCATTCAGGCATTAGAGATATAGAAAGCAAAGGTTTGGGAGGGAAAGTACAGATGCTGAGTGACATCTGCCCACACTGGCACTTACTAGGGCGCTCACTGTCCCACCACATCATAGTGGTCAGGTTGAACCGTCACCATGGAGTCATCTTTCATTGCATTTACAAGGCTCCCTCAGACCACGAAATCTGCATCCGCCAGGCCATCTTCTTTCTCTTCTTACTCACACTCAGTGATGGTAGGAGAGAAGCTCTGAGCTGCAAGCCCTCCACACCTGGGCTTCCTCGCATCTTAACAGAGAGATAAAACACAGTTGAGATGCTTATTATCGTTGGAGTTCATACACCCAAGCTCGTCCACTCCAGAATTTTATTTGTGATACCAAAGTCAGTATTTGCATCGAGGACTTCTATAGAGTGGGAGAATATTTGAGTCAGCTAATTTACACATTGCCGTTTGAGTTCCCGGGCTAATAGAATATAGTGAGAAAGGTATCTTTAAACAAAAAGACATTCTGCCTTCTTGTTTTGATTCTCATACTACTTAAATAGGAGTCTTTTAATGGATTGTCTAGTACCTTGTACCTCACACCTTTGTGCCCATTTTGAAGAGTTTGTTGTCTAAAATGACCCAGAGTGCTTCAGGCCTGTCATGTCAGCACTGGGATGGGGGCAGAGGCAGGAGGATCACCATTGCAAAGCTAGAGTTCTCATCCCAAGGAGAGTACAATGGCCTTGAGTGTAGTGATGAACCGTCTAATGTTTCTAAGCCCAAGGAGGCTGTGATATAAATGAACTATAGTAAAAGTGTCTTTAAACAGAAACACACAATAAAGTTCTGTGCTGATCTGCAACCAAAAATATGACAAGAGGGAGGCTTCCGGGAACGCCATCCTGAATTTTCCCCACGAAGAGTGGTTCATAATTTACTAATGCATTGCTAGTGGCAACTCCATAGGCTGTAGTGACTGCAAATGACTAGCATATTTCCTCAGTGTATTGTCTTGAGGACTGACTGTCAGTGTGCAACAAGTAGAACAGAGCCGGCTCACCACAAATTCATCATCTGTCCAGACTCACTGCACAGCCATTCCTTCTTGGAGCTTTCACTGTCTCATGGGGACCCCTTCTACTCTCAGATTTCCCAAGCCCCCTGAGAGGAGAGAGAGCTATTCCCACCTCCCACTCTCCAACCCCAAGAAAGTCCTCCAAGGAGCTTGACCATCACTGCCAAAGTGGTTGGCTAACACAGGCGCACCCACTGTGGGTGCTCTGACACTCCTGCACATCCTTGTTCTTAAAGCACGCAATCTACTGAATCCACTAGCAACTGCTTTTGGGCCTTCCAGCCTTGCAAACAGCACCACTTCCTTAATGAAGTGGGTTGTTGTATAGCAAGGCCTCCTCACACGCTTCTTTCCTTCCACACGTGGCCGCTTCCCCTTTTGCCTCTCTACCAGGGCCCTGTTGCTGGAGTTTCTTCCGCGGATGCTATATTAACTATAAAACTACTGGTGGATGGCTAGGGCTTCTTATTTGCTAGCTCTGTCTTAATTATTAACCTATAACTACTAATCTTCTTACCAGAGAACACCTGGCGTGTCCTATTCTCCCAGTCACTACATAGCATCTCTCTCTGCTTACCTTTTCCAGAATCCTTCTCTCTCCTAGTCCCACCTAATTTCCTGCCTCTATTGGCCAAACAATGCGTTATTCATCAACCAATAAGAGAAACATATATACAGAAGGACATCCCACATCGGGGCCCCTTAACAGATGCAAGTACCATGTATTCACCCTCCCACATGGGGAATTGCAGGCTCATGATGCAGCGCCAAATATTTCACATGGGTGCTGGAGATCTGAACTCTGATTCTCATGCTTGTGGGGCAAGCACTTGGTCAGTGGAGACATCTCCTATCATCAGAGATGGGAACTCTTTGAGTTACCTTTTCTTCCATGTCCCCTGGTTGGTAAAGATATTGTCTTCATCTGCGATGGAGACCTTACTCAACAAATAAAACTACAAACTGATTCACTAAGGCAAATAACTTGTGTTTGCTAAGGCATGATGGGAGGCTGATGTTGAAAAGTTTTAAACAGAAGAATCAGTCCTATCCAAACTTGTGATATATACAGAGGGTGTGTTTGGCATTGGCCATTTGCTGCACATTTTCCAATCTCTTGATGTGTCTCCCTTTAAGCCTTGTGTTTTAAGAAGCCCCCAACATCTGCACTGAAAGGAACATCTGCACCACATTAGGGTTTTGATGCTGAGTTATATAATCTCTTGTGCATAGAAGGAATGTCTGCATTTAGAACAGTAAGTCAAGAGAATGAATTACTAATAACAGTATTACAGATAAGAACTTGGGTGGAATCAAGGGTGAGACCTGTCCCAATGCCCCTCAAGTGACACTGTGTTCAAGCATAAGCATACAAAGCAAGAACCAGAAACCCTTCATTTTAGTGTCTGATAAGATGATAATAGATTTAGAAAATTTCATGTCTAAACCTTTGTTCTTATTTCTGTAGCTATAACTGCAAACACATACCTTAGATTTCATCCATAGTGGAGAAGATAGCTCTCAAAGCTCTTTGATCATCTGAAGAAGTTTGACAGTAGATAGAGGACAATAAAATCATTTCTTTTTAATGCTGGCAGAAATTGATTTTATGGACTCATTTAGGTCAAGAATTTGAGTTTTTTCTAAAGTAACATAGAGAATGCTGTTGGGGAGGGCTATAGTATCTCCTTTGGTGATAATTTGTTAAGTACCTGATGGGTGTCTTGTGTTGTGCTGAACATTTTTCATTTTCAAATCATGACCTTATTGATAGGTTACTATTTGGCTATGACTGCATAATAGGTGAGCAAGACCAAGGTCACAGCAAGTAAACACAAGAGCTGGGACTTGAACCCATGCTGCCTCACTACAGGAGTCTTAGCCTCTTGCTGTATTGTCTCTTCTTAATTACCAGGCTGTCTCTGCTCTCCTCATGGAGCTTTTCCACAGAAGGGGAGGACCTGCGCATGGCGGCCAACTCATTTTTCTCTTTTTCCTTTGCTTCCTAGGTTTTGGCGGTACCCTTGGGTACCTTTTGGGTGCCGTAGACTGGGTGCATCTGGAACTGGGAAGACTGCTGGGCACTGAGTTCCAGGTCATGTTCTTCTTCTCTGGCCTGGTGTTCACTGTGTGCTTTATCACCCATCTGTGCAGTATCCCTGAAGCACCGCTCAGAGATGGTGCACAAGACCCTCCTGCATGCCCAGTCCCTCAGGGCTTGTTGTCGGCAGATGAGGTGCAGCAATATGGTTCTATTGAGAAAGTTGAACACAGTGATGCAGAAACAGAGCTGATAACACAGGGATGGGCAAACAAAAAAGCGCCTGAACAGGTAAAGATGCAAAGTCTTTTTTCTTTTTTCCCGCATGAGGGAGGATGTTCTTCACTTTCTTTGTGAAAAGTTGTTTTGTTTGCTGGTCTGACGTGAAGAGTTTTGTGAAATCTATTTAAATATTCAAAACCTCGACTAGCCATTAGCCTTTTGAATGAGAATTTTGTGCCTCAGTAGTTCTCTTGCTGCTTACTCCTTTCAAAGCATCAAACTAGGGAAGGTGATGCCAACTTTAAAAGGTTAGACCATAGGAGAGATCTCTAACCAACTTCTGGCCACAGAAAACAGCATCTTATGCAAGGATTGCAATCTATAACTTTGTCTCTCCAAATGGCAACGTTGTTGAGCAGATAACTGGATTAGACACACAAAATTTGCATAACACGACTTGGTTGGACAAAAGCTACAACTTTAAAACAAAAACAAAAATAAGCAGCAGCAACAACAGCAAACCCTCACCTGCATGCCAGAGAAGTGGATTAAGGTCCAGAGGAAATTGTCAGAACAGAGAAGAGATTAGAATCATGTTGGCCAATATAGAAACCACTGGCTCCACATAACTACTTAAATTACACTTAATTAAAATGAATTGAAATTAAGTCTTCATTTCACTTGTTACATTAGTCACATTTTGAAAACTCAAAGTCACATGGGCCTGGTACTGATGTCCAAGGCACGGCAAGTGTAGAACTTTTCCATTGTTATAAAAAGACAGATGGGATAACATGGATGCAGTAACTAATTCTCCCATCAGTTGCCTTTAAATATCCAGTTTTTGGGGGGGCTATAGTACAAAGGTTCCACTCATTAGCACAGACATCAAAATCTTGTGCCTGGATGACCTGCATCATTCATTGACAAATACCTGACAGGGTAGCTTTGGAAGAGCCTACAGATTTAGAGCATGTGTCAGATTATGGCAAAACTGCCTATGATCTTGGACATTTCCATTTCTGAAAAATGGAAAAGTAATTCTGTCTACCAGCAGGGGTATTGTAAAGTTCACATGGGATGATCTATGTAAGTCACTCAGGATGGTTCCCACTGGATAGTAAGGCATTGTTCAAATGAGTCTGTGAGAATACTGAACGCTCTAAGTGCAACCAGGGAGTGTTATCTAGGATAAAGACATACAAACAGCCCAGTAAGTCACAGCTCTCTATCAAGTCAGCCTCTTCTGTTGGCTTAGCCTATTTGCCAGATTCTTCTGTTTTACAACTAATATGAAGATAGAATGGTGTTTCTTAGACTTGACATTAGATATATAAGCATGTTGTTTATAATTATTATTCAATAGCAAACTACTTTGGGTACTGAGTATTTGCAAGGCACTGTACTAGGTGTTGGGAGACCATTATGTTGACCAAGGTGCAGTCCCTGTCCCAAGGAATAAATAAGACAGTCCCTATGCCTGGGAAATTATAAATTAATAATAATTATAATAAATTATAATGGGAATGAGCCATCAAAATAAGGCACCAAGTGGAAAATGCTATAAAAGCAATGTATCCATTAAGATTTTCTAAACAGCAGGTGTTTGGGCAGAAATACATATTCAAGAGATTCTCAGGGGTAATGCCATGTGAAAGACAAAGGGAAGCAGGAGAAGGAAGTGGTATCTTCCTGTCAAGTCAAAGTCAAACAACTGTGGAAGCAAAAGGGACCTGGGCAGAGCAGGAGGCCTCTCCCATGCCCTGTAGTTCTATGGGTTTTTTTCCCCAGTCAAACTGGCCCCAGGTAAGTCCCAAGTCTTCCCAGAAGAGGCTGGCGCTAGAACTTTCCATCTTGCTTACCCATCATTGTCAAGAATGTGTGGAAAATCTAGAGACAGTACTTAGACTGCCACTCATCCATGTGTTCACCAGCAGGAGATCAAAGTGGCACATTTCCATGATGGTAATGATTCTCACAGCAAGTCCAATCGATTTTGCAAAAGGCAGAGACAGTTCTTAAGTGAACAGAACAAGGCTTCACGGATGAAAAGAATAAAATCACCCCAGAGTGGTGCTCTGAATGATGGTCAGGATTTGAAGTGGACACTTGGGAAGAATGTGCCTGGTAGAGAAAGGAGGAACAGTGAAGCTGTAGAGTAAAAACAAACAAACAAACAAACAAAAAAACAAAATGAAAAGCCCCTTGGTGTGTGTATGGGGGAAGGAACATGGTAAGAATTCCACATTGGTGACCCTTAGATAGCAGACTTTCAGTCAAATACATAAAACGAGAGCCAAGGGTAGGATCTACTGGTAGAGCATGTGCTTAGCATGTGCATGGTTCTCAGCTCCACAAAAATAAATTTCAAAAGATGTTGAAGGGCATTAGTAATAAACATCAATTTACTAAAAGATAAACCTTACAGGAACCCATCAGCAAAAGCACCCATGATTGACAGGTCTGAAGGGAGGTGCATTTCAGTGGAGTGATCACAGGTAACACCCACTGTGGTAGATAGATCATCCAGAGAAAATCAGCAAGGTCACATGGGATTGGAACTACGCTTTACACCAGGTGGACCTGACTGATAGCATTGGAATACACGTTTTGTCAACTGAACAGAACAAGGACTATTCCCTAGGAGTTTAAGATTAAAATTACAGTAAGGGCCTTTCACAACTATAGCAGTATAAAACTAGAGGCGAGTAATACAAGGAACTTCATGTTATTCATAAATATGTGGAAATGAAAGAACGATCTCTGAAGCAATCCATGGACCACAGAAGAGGATAAAAGAGAAATGTGACAATGTCTGTTGCTGTGCTTACAGCTGAAGAAAATCCTGTTGAAGTCTACCAAGCAAGTAAATAGCCAATACCAATAAGTTTTTTAAAGAAATCCAAAAACGGGAAACCTTCTAAACATGTCTATATAATCATTATTATGCAGATACCAAAGACAGACACTGGCAGTGAAATAAATGAAAGAAGGTAAGCAGTCTTATTGCATTGTCTCTACTTCAGTTCTTTCCTCTAGGTTCGCCCTTGAGTGCCTACCCTAGCTTCCTTCATGATGGAGCGTGACTGGAATGTGCAAGCCAAATAAACCCTCTCCTTCATAAGTATTCTTAATTAGGATTACTGTTGTTATGATGGAACATCATGACCAAAAGCAAGTTGGGGAAGAAAGGGTTTATTTGGATTACACTTTCATTTCATAGTCCCTCACTGAAGTAAATAAAGACCAGAACTCAAGTAGGGCAGGAACCTGAATGCAGGAACTGATGCAGAGGCTATGGAGGGGTGCTGCTTACTGACTTGCTCATCATAGCCCCATTCACAATGGACTGGGTCCTCCTGCATCAGTCACTAATTTAAAAAATGCCCTCTAGCTGATTCTTACAGAGTCATATTCTCAATGAGATTGCTTCCTTTAAGATGACTCTAGCTTGTGTCAGGTTGATATAAAAGCAGCCAACACACCAAGTAACTTTAGGACATGGTGTTTTTTCACAGCAGTAGAAAGCAAACTAGGATACTATCTAGAACTAAAATCAATTTACAGTAGCTACAAAAATACTTAGGAATAAGTTTAGCCAATATCTGTAATTAGAAACTATGAAGCAATGATGAAAGATATTGCAAGCACAATTAAATGAAAGTGAGGAGAATTAACATCATTTAAATATCCATATTACTCAAAGCAGTCTACAAATTAAGTGCCCTCACTTTCAAAATTCCAATATTTTTTTCTCAGAAATAGAAAAAAGTCTCTAATTTTATATAAAATCATTAAGATCACAGATATCCAAAGCTTGAACAAAAAGATCAAAGCTAGAGGCATTAATTACTTTACTACAAAACTACATAATTAATAGAGCATAGTAAGGCATGAAAACCAATGTGTAGATCAATGGAATAGAATAGACAACCAAGGATTAATCCTTGGATTTGGTATTTGGCAAAAGAATAGCCAAAGCACTCAACAGAGAACGAGCTAGTCTTCAATAAACAGCGCTAGAAAAATCTGTCTGTGCACATGTGGTAGAATGGAGGTAGATCATCATAACACACCACATTGAAAGCCAACCAGAATGAATCAAAGACTGAAACATAAGCCCCAAACTGTAAAACAGCTAGAAGAAAACATCCCGGAAAGCTACGTGGCCTTAATCTGGGAATAGAGAGTCTTCGTTGGTTATCACACCAAAGTACAAAGAAAGGATAGAAACATGGGACTGCATGACACTAAAAGTCTGTGCAACCAAGGAAACTACCAAGAGAGTGAACAGACAAGATGCCGAATTGGAGAGTGAATTTGTGAACTATATACTTTGGCTAGTGGTTCCCATCCAAAACGAACTCAGCAAATGAGGGACTCGGTGGTTTTTGTTGTTTTGGTTGAGGTTAGTGTGTCTGCAAAGGGGGATATTTTCATTATGTTATTTTCTTATCCTATTGTTTTATTTGTTGGTTTTAAAATTCATTTTTTTTTGTTCTGAGAGAGAAAAAGAGACAGAGACAGGGACGGAAACACAGAGACATGGAAATAAGAGGGAGAGAAAAAAAACAAAAGATGAATGTAGAAATGGAGCATCAGTTAATCCTATCTAGTCATTCCACAATGTATACATGTTTCAAATCGTATCACATCTTGAATGATATTTCTCAGTTGAATAACAAGAAGAAAAATGAAGCAAACAATAGCAGTGTGTGTCACATATGAGATTCAGATTCTGAATGGCTTTTGTTGTTTGGTTTAAGAGACACGATAGGCCAGGTGTGGTGGCCCATGCCTTTAATCCCAGCAATCAGGAGGCAGAGGACGTTGGATCTCTGTGAGTTCAAGTCTGTCCAGGTCTCTTTATCAGTTCCAGGCTAGACCTGTTTCAAAACAAATAAAAAATATACTAAAATGTAAAAAGCTGAAAAAAAAGAAAAAGTATTGTAAAAGAAACCAGTTAAGAAGAAGGAGCAGAGCAACATAGCGAAGCATATGGACTTCCCTTGGCCACACACATCCAGGGGTGTCTCCAGCTATGTACATCGGGGCCAGGACCAAAGCCAAGGTCAAAGCTGACATACTTTCTCACAGTCACTGATTCCAAACTTGGGATGGCTGCACAATTTAGAATTAGAATTCTCTACGGAAAGAGACCTGAACTGTTTTGGAGTTCAAACTAGATCCCATAAAAACCCATCTCACATCTTTGCATGCCAAAACCGTTTCTCTTCTCAACACTTGTGATTTCTCCGTCAAAGAATACTTTGGTGTCTTCTTCCCGATGATTCTGAATCTTGTTCAGTTGCAAACCCACCACTCCCCAGTCACCAGCTGATGATGGTGGATAGTCTGTGCAATGAAACGACTCCCAGGGGCTCAAAGCCATTGTAAGGGCTTTTCCCAGGGAACTGACCAGTCAAGGGTAAGATGCCAGCTAGATTTTCATTCTGAGTTAAAATACTGAATATTTATATTTCCAGCTTTTACAGAAATGTTAAGCTCAATTTGAAGCCTCACATTTATTTTTGGAAGGGAGGAGAAATTAGGTTAACAATGGAGCAGGCTGAAAATTATGTGGAAGGCAGAAAGATCCATTAATGTTTGGAGTGAGGCAGAATGCAAGCATGCTTGCCAGACTTTCCTGATTGTGCCTTTTGGGGGAAATGAGAAACAAAATGAAGTGAAAGGGATGGATTTAAAGCATGAAAATCAGCTGCCATTCCCTAGATAGTGTCTACCTTTCACTATGAAGAAAAGCAAGTACTTCTAGACATTTGTTACAGTAACCTTTTGTTTTAGGTATTATATTCTGCATGCAAAACATTATTATTTTTCCTAAATACAAGAGAATGCTTATTTTGTGAATATTTATATATATATAAAGTATAATAAATTAGTATAGTAACTATTAGTGGGTTAAATACTGCAAGATGAATGAAGTTATCTGGGTGTGATGGTGCATGTCTGTAATCTCTGCACTTACGAGGTGAAGTTATGAAGACTGAGAGTTCAAGGTCATTCTGTCACCCTCATGGACATGTCAAATTCTAGGCCAACCTGAGCCACATGAGATCCTATCTCAAAACACAAAACAGAAATAAGAATGATGAAATTGCAAGTATCAACTATACAATGAGCCTAGAATTGTTAAATCTAATGTCTTCAACCAAGATGTAAAACAAAGTATCAGATAATTTAAGAGTTATAAAACAAGGCAGCTGGAGAGATGACTGGCTCTGTGGCTAAGAGCACTGTCTACTCTTCTAGAGAACCAGAGTTCAGTTCCCAGCACCTACATGCCAACTGAAAACTCTCTGCAACTCTAGTTCCAGAGCATCTGACACTCTCACACCAATACACACGAAATTAAAATAATAAATTATTTTTTACAGTTATTAAACAGAACAAGGCAAGAACAAAATCTCACATGCAGAAAATAACTTGCGGTAAAAATACCAGGAATATAATGTTTAATATAACAGAGTGAGTGGTTATCTCATCATAAATTTATTCTTTCCTCACATTTCCAATTATGTGAAGAAACATATTCAATAATAAAGTACTATATGACAATATATGGTAAAAGGAGTTATAAGACAATATGGATCATAATGAAAATAGACAATGTCAGGAGATTGTCTGATAACTCTACTAATTGGGTCCCAATTTCATTATGTCAAGACTCAGAATTTTAAAAATGCCAAGAAGAAAAACCATCAACCCACCTCAGTTGACATTCATACTTTCATTGTCCTTAGGGAGGCTGACTGCTTGATTCTTTCTTCTCTTATATGACAAGATGTTAAAGACTTTTTTTATCTTCAATTGCATCAATGCTAGCTGAAACCAAATAATAATAATAATAACTAGTAATAGTAATTAGAGCCCCTGCTGTTAATGTATAAATCTAAAGTGAGGAATCTGGGGCATGAGTATTCATCTCTTATATGTGTGTTTCCTCTGTTCACATTTTGTTTTGTTTTGTTTTTTCGAGGCAGGGTTTCGCTGTAGCTTTGGAGGCTTGTCCTGGAACTCACTCTGTAGACCAGGCTGGCCTCAAACTCACAGAGATCTGCTTATCTCTGCCTCCAGAGTGCTGGGATTAAAGGCGTGCACCACCAATGCCCTCTCTGTTCACATTTTAACTCAACACAAAGCTCACTTACATATGCCCATTGCTCCCAAGAGTCAGAGAAGTGACTTGAGAGAAGGAGCCTACCTGCCAAGGGCAGGGAACTGTCTAGCTCTCTGTGTTAGTTTCTTAAAACATCACTACAAATGGAACAGCTTAAAACAACATCAATCAGTCATCTCACAGCTTTGTATGTCAGAAGTGTTGGTGGGCTCCAGTGGGTTCTCTGTTCAGGGTCCCACATCCCTGCAATCATGACATCAACGGTGCTGTATTCTCATCTGAAGGTTCAACTGGGAGGAACCTGTCTTCAAGATCATTTGAGTCATTGACAGAACCCAGTTTCTTGTGGTGTGAGAGTACGGTTCCTGTTATGGATTATTGGCCAGGAGATGCTCTGAGTTTTGAAGGACTACTATCTCAGTCCCTTTTCATGTGGCCCTTTCTGTTTTCAACCCTCATGCTTCAAGATGTTCTGAATTCTGCTTCTGCCTCCAGTTGTAAAGAGAAAACCCTCTGGTTTCTGAGAAGGCTTGTGTGATTCAACTAGTATTAACCAGATGACTATCCTGTTAATTCCCTTAGGTCCACTAACTAGTAACTTTAATTGTATTTTCCAGATTCATTTTTACATATAACAAAATACGATCCTGGGTGCAGTCAAGACAAAAGATCATGACTTCTATCTTGAATTAGCCTACCATGCTCTAAGAACAATAGTTATGTAAGGGATTATTTAGCCTTTTGCAGGAATACCATTTAAAGACAGTGTTAGCTGTCTCTTACATCTTGGACTGAGTGTAGCTCCATTCCAAAACTCTACACCTTTAGAGTATAAAAGTTATTTATGACCCTGGAACCACTAAGTAGTCATTTCTTTTTAACAGTGCATTATCAATAACTTGTCCCATGGAAACCTACATGTGATGTCATGATAGACAAGTGACAGAGATGTAGCATGGCTGTTTCTTTGACTCCTGCTGCTGGCTGGGCACCGATACTGAAGACCCATGCTTTTTTCCAGAGTCAGACAGCAATGTCGATGAAGTCACTTCTGAGGGCATTAGTGAACATGCCTTCCCATTATCGCTGCCTTTGCATCAGCCACCTCATTGGATGGACTGCCTTCCTGTCAAACATGCTGTTCTTCACAGATTTCATGGGACAGGTAACGAATGCATTATGTTCACACACTCATTGGTAGCTGCTTCTGTTTGTCCTTTGGAATAGGTATAGCAAAGAGTACCTTCAAGAAATTGGTTTACAGATATGTTCTAGAAGTAGAATGCTACACTCTGTAAAACTACTCTGAGAGATATACCACTATGTGATCAAATACAACAAATAGCAAAAGTAGATATTATCTTCAGAGCTCATGTCAAGCTTCATGAAACAGGTATGTGGCATGATCCCTGCCTTGAAGGGTGACACAGAGTTTCAGAGATACAACAGGGCAAGAAAGAATTCTGATTGGGAATAGAAATGGTGTGGGCAGAGGTGAGTTGGAAGTCTGTTAGCTATGCTAGGGAATGGCACTAAGACAGGTGGGACTAGATGTTAGCATGAGAGGGGAGCCATTGAAGATCACCTGGAGAAATGTTAGTTAGATATACTTTATGAAGGTCCTTGAAGGAGGCACAATACATGAATGGAGTGACCTGGTGATGTCTGATTGAACTCTATGCCCTAGGAAAGGGTCCCTTTCCCCAAGAGTTGAGAAGCACTGCACTAGTTACTCAACCACTGGACCCTCTCTTTCAGATTGTATACCATGGGGATCCCTACAGTTCACACAATTCCACAGAGTTTTTCATCTATGAAAGAGGAGTTGAAGTTGGATGTTGGGGCTTGTGCATCAACTCTCTGTTTTCTTCACTTTATTCTTGTAAGTATTCTTTTCTTAAGAGAGTCAGGCAGTAGTGGGACCCAGATTTTATACTTCAAAATCTGTTTTCTTCTCTTTAGAATCTTAGATTCTTGATAATGTTTAGGAATTCAGGAAAAACGGTTCCTTTAGAGATGATCTTATGAGGTGTCATTTTTCATAGTCAATTCTAGGAGTCATTGCCTTTTAATTATGCTTGTAACCAGTGGGTTTTGAGGAAATACTTTTTTTTAATGAAAGGGAATTTTTGAGAGTAAGATGGTGAGATACTGAGTGGATGAATTCCAGTAGCTTCATGTTCTTCTGGAGCAAGACCACTAGTGATTTCATAGATGATTTAGCAAACTTGTAGATGACTTCTACTTCCTCAGGTAACTACCTTAAATTGTGCCTCCTTTGTGCTATTATTCAAGTTTTCCTTCTGCTTCTCAACCCACCCTTAGCAGAAGCTATCATTTTCTGTATCTCAGAGCATACGTTGCTCCTGGTTCTCAATTCATCACATAGCATCAGGTGAAGACTCATTATCTCCTGCTACATAGAGCTCCATGGGGCAACCTAGATGTCTGGGTGGGGAATGGTGATAGAGAACCAAACTCATTTTTATCTCCATCTGTACAGCCAAGAAATAGCCTTCCAGCAGTTACTACAACTACATGCCTAATATTCAACTCAATAATTTCTTCCTACCACAGAGACAGTACTGTTGAGGATATGGCCAATCTGTGTATCATAGAAAGCAGAGGCAAGAGAATTTTGTCCTTGAGATAGAGATGTATTGGCTTCCCTTCATGAATAAAGCATTATAAACCAGACTTTCAACATTTATACTCTTGTTATAGATATGTTCAAATATCTCTTTATCTTTCTTTGCCTCTCTTTGGCTTGCCGACACACCCAGAAAAGAGCTATGTATTGATTATATCTTTTGAGCACCTTAGACTAAATTTCTACATATGTATATTTAAACAAACAGATTTGTCAAGGATTATTACAAATTGTTATATTATTTTATTGTGTTGTTATATCATTATTATTATTACTAGTATTATTGACCTAGTTTTGTACTGCTTCCATACTCAAGCCTTAGCAACAGCACTCCAGACTTGGAATACATTTGATAGCAGAAGTAATGTTGTTTGCTTGTCATTTCTACAGCTTGTCTTCCATCCAGTGACCCAAGACAGTGTTTTTTAGTTGATTCAAGTATAATACATTTTATTTCTTGTCCACGAAGTGTAAATCTAATAATAATTCCAGTGGCTAATCAACATTTCATTCTTAATAGGTGCATCTCAAGCATCTATCATTTATTTTTTGGTTGACATGATCCAATAGGCTAAAGTGGAGGAGTGATCACTCTGCCTCTACATGTGTTACCTTTTGTGTGTGCTAGTGTATGCCAAGAGGAAGCCATGGGGGAACTGTGGGAACCCCTTCACAGTTTTTGTATGATTGACAATACAGGGAAAATGTCTGCAGAGAACCTCACACCTTTCTTGCCTGTACAGATTGCCTTCAGGTTGGGGCTAAGAAACTAAGAATGATTTGTATCATTCTGCAAAACCTGGTTGTTTTAATATCCCCAGCCTGACTTTGAGTGGTGTGGTCAGGATAAGCATACACTATCGGTTGGGTCCTCTTGGGCTAGACTTCTCCAATCAGAATGAACAAGACTCTTTCTCTGTATCTTTTGTCCTCAGAGTCCCATCACCAATGGGGTTTTTTGCTTATTCTTTTTTATCTTCTTTTTATATTTGGCTGGCTGCTAAGAAGTACCTGATTCTCCTCCATGGACAATAAAATCAGCAAGGCAATTGTATGCCATCTTTTATGCAAAGGATTTAAAACTGATCCCCAAATCCAGCTGTTTCTTGCACACAGATAAGGAAGTATTTTGTTCCTGAGTCAGTATCAAAGGACGTCTTCTAAAAAATACATCTTCAAAAGAAAGGATTTTCAAAAATTATTAGCTATTGTGAGGCACCTGCCAGCTGTAATTTCTTCCCATTTATTCTCTCAACAGACTTTCAGAAAGCTTTGGTTTCCTACATTGGATTAAAGGGCCTTTATTTCATGGGATATTTGCTCTTTGGCCTGGGGACAGGAATCATAGGACTCTTCCCAAATGTCTACTCTACCCTGGTCCTCTGCTCTATGTTTGGTGTTATGTCCAGCACATTGTACACTGTGCCCTTTAACCTCATTGCTGAGTACCATCACGAGGAGGAAAAGGAGGTGAGTAACAAAGGGAATTCACCTGAAGGATGGGGGAAGGGAGGAATTTTGCAGACATGACTGCCAGCCTAGGTGAGTTCTTCCCCCCTCCTCTTTGCTGTGAACCCTGGTGCACCTTTTGAGTTTTAGGACAATGATAGTGACTCCCGATTATCTGATTAAAGAAAGAAGGTAGTCTTAGTGATGTTGGCAATCCACAATCAGACAGAGACAAACTCTTCTGCAACCATCCTAAGGGGCTTCCCAGTTCACATCAGCATTTGTAGAAGTCCACAATGATGTCTTCCCTGTTCCATGCACTGCAGAGGAGCCTGTTGACATTTCTTGGAGTTAAGGGTTGGAGTTGTGACTTGATTCTTACCATGCCTCCTGGAGAGGTGCTACCCACCTATGACTTGGAATTCGGACCACAAGGTAGGACCTTAAGCAGTCCTCCATGCTGTATCTGAGGAGTTCAGTAAAGACACCACTGAAATGGCTACTCCATAGTTAAGGGGTTTCTTATTGTAAGACAGAAAATATCCAGAGTCATTTGGAAGAGTTCAAACCAGAGAGAAAAATAAACAGACTGGACATGGCCAAGTCGAGGAAAGCAGGAGAAAAGTAAAGAATAGCAAAGTAAAATAGGGAAAGTGGAGGGTTATTAGGGTGAGCTAGAAGGAGGGAAGCTGGTGAGCTGGAGCAGACCTAGGAGTTTGGGTAAAGGTGTGTGTGTGTGTGTGTGTTTGTGTGTGTGTGTGTGTGTGTGTGTATGTGTAGGGCCAGGATGGGAACTTTGAAATGTATAATGTGTGCTTGTGAATTAGGACTACAGGGCATAGGTATGTAACCACAGGTGTATGTCAATGGAGACCCATATGTTCTTTCTGCCAGAGACAAGGGAAATGATTCCTATTGGCAACTCATTTCACAAGTTCCTGAAGAATTCCAGCTTTTATCTAACCACAAATCCTTCTGTTGTCCATCTTGAGCTGGGTCTAGACTGCCATTTCTAGACATATGCACTTGGGGAATTAGAGTTTCCTTTAGACCTGACAATGAGAAGTTTTGATAGTTCTGTTCTAGAATTGCTATCTCTTCTAATTAAGGTATACCAGATTTTCTCTATGCAGACTGACCTTTGCTTCCTTGAGTAGAGCAATGATGAAAAATCTAAAGTGAGAACCATGAGCTCAAACCATGTCAGTCTGAAACCATAAAAACACCAAGTGAATGTCAGTGTAACACCAAGCCCATGTCAGTGGAATACTGAGCACATGTTAGTTTTCATTTATGTCATTTGATTTGGTAGGTGCAGCAAGTCAGACTGTACCAGGAGTTAAGACTTTCCAAGTAAGAGTAATAACTGTCTTTTTTCCCTAGTAAAAGTTGCAGTGCATTGTGGGGGAGGGGCTACTGTTTGAAAGACAGTCACCAGAAAAGTCTCCCCTTTTGGAAAAAGTACTGGCACCAAAGTGTATAAACTTATGACATGACTGTTCCATGGGGAAGGTTTTTATTGTCACAGGAGTCTGGAAGAGTGCAGAACAGAGAGAGGAATTAGTAAACTGAGCATCGCCAGCAGACTGGACATGGCCATAAGAGAAGCAAGACCAGAGCAGAAAGAGAGAAGAGTGTCGGCGAGTAGAAAAAGGGGGAGGAGGGACAGAGAGAGAGAGAGAGAGAGAGAGAGAGAGAGAGAGAGAGAGAGAGAGAGAGAGAGAGAGAGAGCATATTTGAAATAGCAGGACTATAAGGAGAATGAGTAGCTGGCAGGAGGGAAGTCCATGAGCTGGGGGAGTTTGGGGTAGGGAGGAGGTGAAAAGACAGCATGTTATCTGGAATGTGTAACAATGTTTGTGATACTGAGGGAGCCTGGATACCAGATGTGCCAGTAGCCACCATAGATATCCATTCCTCCGTTCTGCCTGCGGTAAGGACAATGACATCTTTTGATAGAGAGAAATCAATCAGCCTCACAAGTTACTGAGGAATGCTGACTTTTGTCTATCCACTAGAATTTCAGGGGAAATGGACTTTCCTTTGCTTCTAACTCAAGGCAAAGAACAAAAACACGAACAAACTTTGGAGTCACAGAAAAGTAGACTGAAATTCTGTCCCCTTTGAAGCTGTGTGACATTGACCGTATTTTTCATTTAGTCATTAAGAAGCACTTAAAATGAACTCACTTTTACAAGAGGTTATAGTCTCACAAGGGCCAATAATCACAATAGACAAAAGTGTTCTTGTGAAGCTGCTTCCATCATAATTGTTCTGTCTGCATCCCCAGCCCACGCCTGCTATGTTATCACTCTTGCTAGAGTTCTTAAAGTTTACCTTTTCAATATTTAAAAACGAGAATCAAACTAACATGAATATTTTTTCATATTTCCTCATTTTACAGATAATATTCATTTTTCTCTCCCAAGGTGTATTTTTCTTAATAACATTCACTACATAAAGCAGGTGGGAAAGTAAACCTGAACACACACACACACACACACACACACACACACACACACACACACACACACACACACACACACAAAGGCCTTTAATCCCAACACCAGGGAGGCAGAGGCTAGTGGATCTCAGTGAGTTCAAAGCCAGTCTTATCTACAAATAGAGTTGCAGGACTGTTGTTAATTAGGGAACAAGGACGGGGCGACACAGCACAAGCCATGGAGAGCATATTAACCATAGTTTCTTATAGCGAGACTGAAAGGGGGGAGACAGACATGACAGAGAGAGAGTAAGGTAAGAGAGAAGAGGAGAGGGTAAGTGAAGATGAGAGGAAGATGAGATGAGAGAGAAGATGATGAGAGAGAGAGTAGGTGGGCAGGGGCCTGTCCTTTTAAAGGGGTCCTTTGCACCTGCGAGCAGACTGGTTCTCATGGAACTCTGGGCTGGCCAGAGAACTGCCGGAGTGCATTCTGGCAGGTAGCAGGGCAGACCAGTGTAATGCCTGAACCTTTAAAGGGTAGCCTCACAGGACTCCAAAAATGACAGCTGGAGTTATTATTGTCCTAGGGATGATGACAACAATGTCTACACCTAGGTAAGTGCTAATAAAAAAAAAAGTCCTGACAGCAAAACAGTTTTGCACAAGGCCTTGTGGGTAAAAGACACCAGAGGGCAATATCAACCAACTGGGGATAAATATCAACTATCTACCGAGTGTTAACATATTAACTAAATAACCATGCTGTGAGGGAGTTATTGCTTCTTATATATTTAAGTCATTTAGCATTCTTTTGAAACCACTTGCCTTTTTTTCTGTTTTGTTTTGTTTTTCATTTGTTTTTTAGAGACAGATTTTCTCTGCGTAGTCCTAGCTATCCTGGAACTCCCTTTGTAGACCAGGCTGGCTTTGACCTCACAGAGATCCGCCTGCTTCTGCCTCCCGAGTGCTGGGATTAAAGGTGTGTGCCACCCATCTACCGCTACTGCTTGCCTTTTTAACACCAAGGAAGAAAAAAATATTTGAATTGGTCCTTGTTGACTTTCTGCAACATTGTATTTATCTTTCTCTTACAAAGAGCATCCTAACCATACTCATGCTTAGGGGATATACTCATTGAAGCTGGAGGAAAAGGCTCCCTTGCAAATAGGGAAGACAGCATCAGTGAAGTTCCCTGGAGTCTGCCAATTAGGAATTAGCAAACTATGGCCAGCTGGTCAAAGGCAGCCTGCTGTTTTCAGATAGTTTATAGGATAATAATCCCCTTTAAAGTTTTTAAGAGATGGAAATGAATTCAAAGAAGGAAGGTGCTGTTCCGTGATGCATAAAAAAGGCATGGAATCTAATCAGGTTGCATCGGAATGCAATTTGTTCTTACTCTAGATCTTTCTTGATTTGTGAGATCAGAGTCAGTTCCAACCAAGATCCTATGAAGCACATAGGTATTTACCACTGGACTCTTCCCAGAAAAAGTAATCTGATCCTTGATGCTTTGTAATGGTGCCTTGTAGATCAATGGCTATTCCTGTGTTTCTCTTGCAGAAGCAACAGAGAGCCCCAGGAGTCCCTGACAACAGTGGGAGAGGCAAAGGTGTGGACTGTGCTGCACTCACCTGCATGGTGCAGCTGGCTCAGATCTTGGTTGGAGGTGGCCTGGGCTTTCTGGTCAACATGGCTGGGAGTGTCAACGTGGTGGTGATGACAGCCTCTGCAGTGGCACTGATAGGCTGTTGCTTTGTGGCTCTCTTTGTTAGATATGTAGATTAGGTTTATAAAGAGACATGGACCCAAACCTCAGACAAATGACAAGGCTTTGGGAACTTATAGCTCATGGTGGAATCTCACCTTGTGTGCACACCTGGGAAAATGTGTGTGTGCTAGGATTGCCTGCCCCATTGCCTCTTCCTTACCACCGCCCCTCCGTGTAGGGATGGGAAGGTCAGCTCCTGCTTCTTAAGGGGCGTTTCAGGCCTTGATAGCATCTAAGGCTCAAATCAATCCTATCCACGATGCTTATAATGTCATTTTTTAAAAAGCAGTCCATGTATCATTGGGAAATCGCATATTTCATCAACTCAGAAATACTTAAAATATTAATGATCATTTTATGGTGTTGATTTATCCAAATTTAATTTGCTCATAATTAATTCCTGTGAATGTATGACATTCTTAACAAATCTGCTTTGAAGGTCTCATTCTGAAAGCTGTGCAACTTAAGAGTTTTTGTTTGTTTCACTGATACAGTAAAAATATTTTTCTTGAGTCTGTGCCTTCATTTCATCCCCTGGAATTGACATTTTCGAGAAGCAATTGCTGGTCCTCCTATGATACTCTGTCCCACCCCCAACTAAATACCTTTTCTTTAGCCAAACCCTTCAGGGGACTGCCTGAAGAGACTGCATTGATATCATGCTGAGAGACCACATTTTTAAATAGGAAAACCAACCATGAGCTTTAGAGTCTGGCTAGTTTCGATCCTTTCTTTGGTACTCAGTGGCAACCTATTTGACATCCCCAAGTGACACGTGCTCAAGTATGCATTTGGTATAATGAGTTCCGTTCTCAGAGCAGTGTGACAATTTGGTACATTAGGTAGCTCATCTGAAGCCATGCAACTCAAAAGTGGCAGAGCTGGACTTTTTTAAAATATTTATTTAACTTTTTACGAATGTCACTTTCAGTTCCCTCTCCCTCCCCTCCTCTGCCACCCTCCAATCCTCCCAACCCCTCACCCTGACTCCATCCCCCTTCTTCTCCCCAGGGAGGACAAGGGTCTCCATGAGGGATTTCAGAGTCTGTCACATCATCCCAGGAAGGGTCCAGGTTCTTCCCCATGTGTCCAGGCTGAGAGAGCATCCCTCCACATGGTATGGGTTCCCAGAGTCCACCTGTATGCCAGGAATAAATACTCAGAGCTGGACTTTGAATCCAAGGCTTTGTCTCTACTGCTTCCTGTGGAGGGCAAGTATAGGCAGGTGGCTGGCACATGATCAGTGCTTAATGAATGCCATGGTCATTGCTGGCAAAGCCTCATCACCAGCCCTTCCTCCTTAGATTTCTGCAGCTCTTGTTAAGTATCACCTGTACAATTCCGAATGTGTCCGACCCATGCAGAAAGGACATTTGTCCATATGCCATTAGATGTGAAAGATGCAGTTATGTGTTTCCTGTCACTGCTCTTGATGGGTTTAAAATTAACCACATCTTTGCCTGGAAGAAGGGAATTTTGAGAACAGCAATGAGCTGCCTCTCCCAATGTGGGATGCTGCTTTTGTTTCCCTGTGCATGGTAGAAAGGATGGGCCATACCAGGCCATTTGGGATTAGCAGTCTGGTGAAGGGAAGAAGTGCTCAGGTCGTTTTCCAAAGACCTTTGTGTCCTCTTTTACTCAATTGTCCTGTGCATAATGGGTGCGCCTCTCCACCCCAATGCTTTCAGAACTCAGAGCAAGAGGCTGAATGGCATTGGATGCTATGACCCAAGGCCAGATCTCTATCATTGCGGCTTCTTTCTTATGTTATAACATGCTAACACTTGTAGTGTTAGTGCATCTGTGGTGACCCATAATTCTCCATCTCTTACTACCATTCCGACAGCCACCTTCAGCCTCCCCTTACATCCAAGAGCACATAGACTGAGTGGTGTGCTTTGCTTCTGGAAGATGAACTCAGTAAAGACCTGTGGAGGTTTTTCAAATGGCCTTACAGGATGTTTCCATGAGGGTGGGGTTCTGGGATCTGTAGTATAGGTTGAAAACATTTCATTCCATGCGCAGATGCCAGTCAGCCACCAAGGAAGCAGGATTCGTAGAAAATGAGGTAACAATCCATGAGCCATGTTACAAAACATAGGTAAGAAATATGGGTTAATTTAAACATAAGAGTTAGGTAGTAACAAGCCTGAGCTATTGGCTGAGCATTTATAACTTATATGAAGTCTCCCAGCCAGTTATTTGGGAAGCAGCTGCCTGTTGTTTGGGAGTAGGCAGTAAGAACAGGAAAACTCAGTCTACATATATTCACCTCTATAAGGTTTATATGGAACTTGGAGAGTTCCATGTTATTCTTAGGTGTTATTCCCAGGAATTGTTTGGTCTTTGAAGACTTGGGAAAGAATGAATGGGTCACCTGGGAATATTTGCCACAGGGCATGGTCTTTATTACAAGTGACAGAACATCAATGGGTCATTGTTTGGCTAATGCAAGAGGCAATAGATATTACTATGTCAATGTCCAATGTTGATTTTGCAACATTTGATGAAGTACTGAGCTGGGGTAAGGACCGAGAGCAATCTTTCTCTGTCTCACTGTCTTGTCTCTATCTCTATCTCTGTCTGTCTGTCTCTCTCCCTCTCTCTCTTACACACACACACACACACACACACACACACACACACACACACGTACAAGTACTTTACCCATTGAACTCAACTCCATTAAAGTCTGAATGAGTGGACACAATACAAAATTTAAAAGCCTTTAGCCACCTCAGGAAACCCAAATTTTTATTTTCTTTGGCAAAATGAAGTTCATCCTGGCAAAAAGCATCTTAACTGTAGACAAATAAAATTAAAGTGGGGGTGTAACATTTTTTGTAGACATCCAGGGAGCTCCTATGGGATAAAGGGAAGGTGTACTGCTTCCCACTTCCCTAACCTGTCTGCTTCCTCGTTCCCCTCCACCATCAGCATCACTTGTCAACACGGCATCCATATTCCCTAGACCCATCTAAATACTATTCTGTCTTTTCTTCCTGGATTCTCCCCTTTTATTGTAGCCTTACTGCAATGTCCAAATCATTGTTCTCTGCATTGTCTTGAGAGGCTCTCTGGCTGTTTGTCCTAACTGTGAACTCTGGACTGTGTCTGACTTATGGCCTGCCCACAGGCACACAGAGGGACTGCCCAGCTACTCTCCTGTTGTTCTGTCTTTGTGTAGACAGAATCCATAATCTTTGATCCTCCATGTGGTGTTCTCTGAAGCCCTTAGCTTTGGATTTGGACAAACTGGCTCCTTTTACAGAGATTGGTATGAAGTCCTGGCCCCAGACCGGTATCTTCTCTTTCTGCAGTGCCCACAGCAGAAACACACATATCAGTATCTTTGCCCAACAATTCTGAGCTAGTGGAGCCTGCACAGAACTGAACTAGGCCTTCTGCCTGTGGATGACAGTTTTATAGCCTGGTCTGTTTGTGGGATCCCTGGCAGGGGGACCAGGATTTATCTCTGGTGCACGAGTTGGCTTTTTGGAGCCCATTCCAAATGGTGGGATGTCTTTCCCAGCCTTGATACTAGGGTGAGAGACTTGATCCTGCCTTGCTGAAGGTACCAAGCTTTGTAGGCTCTCCATGGGAGGCCTTACCCTGTCTGAGGAATGGATGATGGATGGGAGATGGGAAGGGGAGAGAGGGAGGCCAAAGAAGGGGAGGGAGGGGGAACTGTGATTGGTATGTAAAATGAATAAAAACACTTTAAAGCACAAAAAAGAAGTCTGAGCTATTTACAAATAATGTTACTGTCAAAATTGAAACTTTAATCTCCCATGTTGTACGTGGACATGGTATTGTCTGCTTCCTCTTATTTTGACCCTTTTATTTATTTTGTATATGGGAGTATGTATTAGTTAGGGTTTCTATTGCTGGAACAAAACACCATGACCAAAAAGCAAGTTGTGCAGAAAAGGGTTTATTTGGCATTGTAGTTTATCATTGGAAGGAGCCGGAATGGGAACTCAAGGAGGGCAGAAACCTGGAGTCAGGAGGGGAGCTGCTCACTGGCTTCCTCCCCGTGCCTTGCTCAGCCTGCTTTCTTATAGACCCCAGGACCACCAGCCCAGGGATGGTATCACCCACAGTGGACTGGACCCTCCCCCCATCAATTGCTAATTAAGAAAATACCCCACAGCGGGATCTTATAGTGGCAGTTGAAGCTACTACCTTTCAGATAGCTTTAATTTGTGTCAAATTGACATAAAACTATCCAGCACAGAGCATTAGGGAGCCACATTCCAACTGTTGCTAGCCTGGCTGTTGGTCAATACCAGTATCGATAAAGCCAAAGAGCAAAGGAGGACTGATGTGACTGCTTCAAAACAAAGCCTCAGGACTCGCTTTGAATTTGTTATTTTCATGGGAAGGCATCTGAGTGTCTGGAACTGTGTTGCAGAAGTGTCGCTTTGATAGCAGGTATGTAGATCCCATATTCCAGGTATTAAGCCTCACATAGAACAGTACTATTTAGACAAAATTATCCAACAGTCCTATAATCCAGGAGACCATTTAAGCAGCCATGCTTTCTAATGGTTCTTCCCTGTATTAAAGTGACTATGCCACAGTGGGAGGTGCCTGCTCTAGTAGCCTCTTACTCCCAGATGAAGCCAAATAGAGCAGTAGCGTCTGTATTGGTCCTGGTTGAGGGATGGGCAGGTTAATTAATACTTGATCTCAGTTCTCAGAGTTGTCTCAAGAAAGAACTCTGTGAAGATCTTAAGATCCTAGACTGTGACTAAACTGAGCTGTCATGAGGAGTCTGCTCAGTCTTCAGAGACAGCCATGTGGCTGTCCTGCACACTCAATGAGCAAAACACTCAGTTCCTGGGACTTGGTTAGCATAGTCTTCCACTCAATTTTCAAGTCTCACCTTCCCCTGTCAGTTACAGTGCATAGCCTCACTCATACAAGTCTGGCCATGCTCTTGGCAACTGCCTCTTCTTTCTCTTTAGGAGAGATTTTACTTGAGTCCCCCATCCCCCTTGGGAAGATCAACCTCCCTCCTCCCTGCCCCAGGAAACAGCTGAACAACATTTACTGTTCTTCTAAGCCCCAAACATCACCCAGCCATCCCATCATCTGCCACTCCAGTCCATTCCCAAAGAGGGAAGGGAGGCTGCTAAAGCACCCCCACACTCAGGAGAGCTTTCAGGGGATTTGCTGCCTCACCTGCACCAATAGACCAAAGCACCAGGTATCCAAACTGTCCTCGAGAGATTCTGGGTACCCAGGCTTTCAGGGTAGACACCACACTTCCCGCTCTCTTAGCTAGTCCCCCCTTTCCTTCAGGGGCAGAATCATAAAAAGGTTTCTCTGTTTAATTTCCTCTAATCACAGTGCTCTTTCTTGCACCTCATGCCACTTCCTAGAGACTCCCGGGGACACAGGTGACATTTGCGTTCAGAGGCACAGCAGAGAGATCAGGCTCAGCTTGTGCACGTCAGTCCTGTCCAGGATGATACAGGACACCAGAGTTCTATTTCTCATTTTCTTTTCCCGACAGTCACAGCAAGTTAGAGCTTTACTTGGGACAGTCCCCACAGATCAAAACGCATTAAGACAGACTTTATGGGCAACTTACCCTGCTGCGGGATTTTGCTTGAGGACCAATAAAGTTCTCCATAAAAGTCGCTGGACCAAATGATCCCTTGTCCGGATATCATTTGGCTAAACCCAACTCCTATGCAACCCGAAACCCAATCCTTCTGCTTCCCAGATGCGTTTCCAGCTTCTGGGTGTCCCATAGTGTTCAGCGGGCAGGGTGGGGAAGTGGGACTTGGAGTAAAGGACAAGGACTTGGGAGTGGTGAGCCAGAGCCCAGGCTGCAGGCTCTATCCCGTTAACCTAATTTCTGCAGAGACAGTCCTCTGGCCTTTTCACAAATTGCTCTTCCCTGTAGCACCCCTTCCCTACCTATTTCTCCATTGCAGCTCCTCCAGCCCCCAAATCTCCCCTCTCCTTTTCCCCTGGAAGGCCCTCTTGAGCCCTGGCAGATCTCAGTAGGCTGAGCTGCTGGGCAGCAGGTCGTAGCGCCCCCCACTGTAGACCACCACACCGGGTGGATAGTAGAGCAGGTCAGGTTCTGCAGTGGCGTTAAGCGGCGCCAGGGCCTGCAGCCCGTGATCCTCAGGCTCAGGCTTGGTGGTGGCAGTGAAGGGGCGCATGCTGGTGAGCGAGGGCGACGCGATGCGCCACAGCAGGTTCTTGAGTGCCTTTCGGAACTCACGGCGCACCAAGCAGTAGAGGATCGGGTTGAGGCAGCTGTTGGAGTGTGCTAGGCACACGCTGACCGGGAACGCATACACCTGGCACAGAAAGTACTCCTGGCTGAAGGGCACGGCGTTGAACTTGATGAGTATGCTCCAGGTGGTGAGCGCCTGGTTGGGCAGCCAACACAGGAAGAAAGACAGGACTACGATAGTCACTGACTTGGTGACTTTGGACCGCCTCCGAGCGCTGGCTGCACTAGGGCCTCCCCCAGCCGCCGCTGCTCCGGCTCCATCCGTTGTCCCCACTATACGGCGGTCTGAGATGAATCGCACCAGCAACAGGTAACACAGGCAGATGATACTCAGCGGTAACAGAAAACCCAGCAACACCTTCTGCAGATGGTACAGACCCAGCCAGAACTGCCTGTCCCAGCCCAGTAGCTTGTCCGGGAAGTGCATGAGGCACAGGTCCTCGCCCATCACCCTGATGGTGGTAGAGAAAATGACATTGGGCAGCGAGGCTAATGCGGCAGAAGCCCAGATCAACCCACACAACACCTTAGCTGAGAAACAGCAGCTCTCCCTTAAGTTCTGGCCACAGCAGTCTCCACGGCCATGCCCTCGGGTCCGATGGCTCTTAAGAGCAGAGGCCACAGAGTGGTAGCGTGCCACACTCATAGCAGTGAGAAAGAAGACGCTAGCATACATGTTCATGGATGTCACCATGGACACGATCTTACACATGGCTTTGCCGAAGGGCCACTTGAAGTCTAGAGCGTTCTCCACCGCCCAGAAGGGCAAAGTGAGCACGAACTGAAAGTCAGTCAGCGCCAGGTTAGTGACAAAGAGGTTGATAGAAGATTTGCGCCAGCCTTGCTTGCTCTTCATCAGGTAGAGAACCAGCAGGTTGCCGGCCAGTCCCAGAGCACAAACCACCCAGTAAACCGCGCTGATGAGGATCCGTACCCGGGCCTCAGTGTCTGCACTCTCTGGCCCGCCGCTGCCAGGGGGATGCCCGGGTGCCGCACCGTCCGGCAACTCCAGCCCCAGCTCCCACCACAAGTCCGGAAGCTGCGACGCGTTGCTGCTCATGTTGGCGACCTCCAGCAAGTCTGGGATGACACTGAAGAATTCCGAGAGCTCATCACCCGCAGCCGCTTTACCCATGGTGGCTGCGGTGGTTGCAGAGGCCACCTGCACGCGCAGGTGCCTCTGGGTCATGTTCTGCTGGCCAGCTACCCGAGAGGCACCGCTTGTTCCGGGTGTGGTACCCAAGAGCAGAAGCTCGAGCTTTCCAAGAAGCCGCTGAAGATTGCGCCTAGAAACGTTGCTGAGCCCAGTCCTCACCCAGAACCGCCTTGAGCTCAAGGGTTGGCTGAGCTCAGTGTCTGTTCTAACAAAGAGTGGTGAGGATTCAATCTTACCCCTCTGCTTCCCGGTTGTAAGTTAGACACAGCCTCCAGCTCAGGAGAACAGTTCTCCGGGCCGCTTCGCTTCCCAACACCTTTGTGGGCTTCCCCGCTGATGCCCGGACCAGATTCTCTCCTTTTAGAGGAAAACGGAGACAGCGAACATCCTCGAAGCCGATTCACGCCATCACTGCCTGGAGCTCTGTTGGTGTTTTCTGTTTGTTCGATATTGTCAACCCCTAGTGACTTACCAGAGTTATAGGAGTTACATTCGCGCCCACTGAGTCGCTGCAGAGAGCCCCAAAAGAGCATGCGTAATCCTCATGCAGGAAGGGGTGCTTTCCGAGGTGCTGAACCCTGCGCGTCACCGCGGGTGGGGTGGGGGTGGGAAGGCAGCTTCCACGGGCAACTCGCCCTAGGTGTAGAAGGAGTGGTCTAAACCTTTTATTTTGTGGCTGGAGTGAGTTGGCTTTCTTCCTTTCTTATTCTGGCTTTTTTCTCTTCTCCCTCTTACTTTAACATTGAAATCATCCGGCCTACACAATAGTGACACCCTTTCTTCTTTAAATCAAATGACAGTTAATCTTTTCCGAATACTCGAACTAGAGCTCCATCTCCCCTTTATTTGGCAGATTGGCAGAATCCCAAGGGTTTGTATTTACCCGGAATTTGGGTGTATTTTGAAAACTGTAACTATGGGGGTTACTTCTCAGCGTTGCAGTTTACAAATGCCAGACTGGCTGCTCTTGTGTAAACTACACTTTTAAGGAAGGACCTGAATTTGAAGTGTTTTCTTTGTCAGAGAACTAAACTGAAATCCAAGTACGCTAAGCATGCCGGAATTGTCCTATCGTTTGGGATAGTCAAGGGTTTCTGACGTTAGCAGCAGCAATAGGGGGTATAACACCAGATGGAATGGAAGAAGTAAAGACATTTGACCAAACAATGAAACAATAAGAAAGGAGAGAGGTACTCAACAGCTTTACGAAGTTTAACAATCTTAATTCTAAAGCACATTTGAAAAGCGCACTTCGCTGCAGAAACTGCATTTCTTTATTTGACCAACAGAGGTCGCCAGAGCTTCAGTAAAAATCCAACTGAACAAGAGTGGCTCGGTTCCCAGATGAAGAGGCCTCCTTGCCCTGGTAATTCTGTATAGCTGTGGACACTTGTTCCTCTTGGCACGCCCGCTTTATAGCCTCATCTTCACGCTCGCTTTTCATTTTTAAAAAACGTTTCCTTTCTTTGTCAATTTTTTCTATTGTTTTGTTTGTATTTCAAGAGCAATTGAAAAACAAGGAAGCCTGTGGCAATACCAAAAGCCCTCTGCTGTTGTTTTTAACATGTCCTTATCAAAGCTCCCTAACCCACACAAATAGCTTCGATTTCTCCATGCTTCTAGTCTCCTCCATGAACATATCTTCTTGACATGCCTCAAGTAACGTAAAGCACTCATACACTTGAAGATTATTGTAGGAGTTTGACTAATGTCATCTCACATTAATTGACCGTTCCCTCTTAGCTGGGCTCTGAGCTAAGCTGAGAGAGACACCTCCATGACGTAACACCTCTATTTTGGTCTCCCCTGGAACTCAGTCTAAATGAACGTGCAGTTTAGGCACACTGTGATTGAAGTTTTTGTTTAGTCTGTGTGTGATTAAGTTATCCAGAGTGCAATGGACTTGCAACAGATGCGTGGACAATAATTTTAGCTCTTTCCCTTACTTTAGGAGGTGGGTAGGTAATAAGCAGTTTACTGTACTGTTGTGGGCTGTTTCAAGTTTAGATTTAGCTTACTTTGGGTTTAAATGTGGATACGCCACAAAGGGGAAAAGATTCAGAGTTTGCTTTGTTACACATATGCTCCGTTTTTTTTTGTTGTTGTTGTTTGTTTTTTTGTTTGTTTGTTTTAGTTTTTTGGGGTTTTTTTTTTGTATTCTTTTTCCCTGGAGGAGAGATCAGGTTGTGATAAAGTCCAACAGGAATACACTATAGTATCAAAAAGCCATTTTCCTCCATGGAGTCTGGATATGGAATCTTAATATCTTCTTTTTGTTTGTTTGTTTTTGAGCCGGGTTGTACATTGAGTCTCAACATCAGAGCAATAAGAGGGAAAATTCAGAAAAGGTCAGTTTTGCATATTCAAACCATCCCTTTAGTTGTGTGGTGGACAGGATGGAAGGAGCAGAGACAGGGGAACCTTAACCAATCAAAAAGCTAAAGCAAAGTGAATGGCAGAGGTGGCTGTAGTTTGACCTGTGACGGAGAACTTATGTGGGCCATGAACCAGCCTAAGTGAGGACAGAGGCCCTGCATACACTGTAGCATGTAGTTCTGCAAGCCCGGAATCATAGTGTAGCCCTAATACTATGCAGGGGAGGCCTGGAGAGGTGAAAGGTTTTACCCGACATCTCACTCTCATGAGCTGTCACACCAGGTTTAAGCCATAATTCTCTTGACTTTCATGGGATGTGTTTGTGCCTCATTCTTCACTTCTTAGCTTGAATATAACTGCCCCATAGCTTTCAATGACAGAGTAGGTGATAGACTGTGTAATATTTTCTCCAATATATGCATCTTAAGCTCTGGGACCTCAGATATTATTTTACATAGACAAAAGGATCAAATGTCACAAGATGAGGAAGACTTTCACTGATTATCCAGACAGACCTAATACACTCACCAAAGCCCTTGCCAAGGGGCGACATGAGATGTGGAGATCAGAGAAGTTATCGTGGTGGTGAAGCCCAGGTGAGAGTGGGGGACTTTGAGATAGAAAAGGGGCCACAAGCTAAGACACTACAAGGTGAAAACCCAGGCTACGGACTCCCTCCCAGGGCCTCCAGAACACACCAGCACCGCCAGCACCTTGATTGTCTCTGAACAAAGAGTCAGGAATGCTGAGTCTCCCAAGAGATTGGATTTGTTTTGTTTTAAGGTGCCACATTTATGACAGTTTGTCCCGGCACAATTGCTAGAACAATTCTGGGTTAAGTGTATCATTTCATTTTATTACTCTATTTCAATAATGTTCATTATTAGTTTTTCACTCATGCAACAGATACTTATTTAAATATTGCTTTGTGTTAGGTATTATTCCATGACTAGAAGACTCCATGGTAAATACAATCTGTTGAAGTTCAAATTTGGATAGCTGACACAAATATTGAGAAGTTGTGTGATTGGAATTACAAGAAGGAAAACAAAGTAAAATGAATTATAAATCATCTATAAGGAAGTTTGGGCTTTCTGAGCCTGTCTATTTAGGTCGAAACTCTTCAAATTAAACATTTTAAAATCAATATTAATTTCCAATCACTGTATGATTATCTAATGAGATAAGGGGTTTTCTCTCTAGGAAACTATTAATAAATGGCATGTCTTGGAAACTATAATGTCTTAAGGGAAGGGAAATTCAGTAACTATGTAAAGGGTTTCTACCTTTCCATAGGAAAATAGAGAACATTAGTGCAGAAAGAATGTTGTCAGTGAGGACACCAATTGGGAGTGAATAAGTTGTTTTTGTAGGTCAGAAAGGGACTAAACCCCTGTGACACAAGCTCAGCAAGTGGAGCCAGTAAGGTATGATGAGACAGATAAAGCTTAGTCAAAGCACTTTGATTCTCAACATCAGAGCAATGAAAGGGAAAATTCAGAAAAGGGAGCAGCAAGGTCAGTTTTGCATATTCAAGCCATCCTTTTAGTTGTGTGGTGGACAGGATGAAAGGAACAGAGCCAGGGGAACCTTTAACCAATCAAAAAGCTAAAGCAAGGTGCATGACAGAGGTAGCTGTAGTTTGACCTGTGATGGAGAAGAGCCAAATGAAATTTACATAGATACTTTGAAAACCGACCACTGGGACCTTGATGGGCGACATGCAAGGTTGCAAGGTTGCAGGACACAAAAGAGTCTGCCTTGAGATTCTACTCTGCATCTGGGTAGGCCGGGATACTGAGAAGATGAAGGGATGGGAAAATGACAAATTCAAACTGGACAAATGAGACTGCAAATGCCTACCGGGCCATGAATGAGAAGCTGGAGGGGGGGTACTTGGGTATATGGGTTTGTAAATCAGAAATCTAGCTCTAAGAGACAGCTTTGTGAGCCAGTAGCACATGGCTGAAAATCACAAGTTTGACATTGGCAGGTGGAAACTTGAGAACAAAATAACCAAAGAAGATAGTAGACCTGGGTATGACGATAACAGGTGTAATAAGGGGTGGGAGAAAATTAAGAGTATATGACATGGAGGACAAGAAACATAAAAAAGTGAAAGAGGAAAGAAGGGGCTGTGTCCAAAACTTCTGAGTCAAGGAAGGCAAGAATGGAAATAACAACCAGGTTTAGAAACCAGGAGACCATAGAGATATCAGTGTGCATCAGCATTTCCGGAAGCAGATGCTGGGCAGCCGGGCTAGGATGTTACTAAGAGAATCTCATTGACTTCCGGCCACTAAAGAAGTGGAGACGAGGGAATGGGGTAGGAATCAGAGATCTCTTTGGAGACTTATTGTATAGACTGAGAGAGACTCACCTAGACAGCTGCCAAAAGGAAAGACTGAAGTCATGCATTGGGCCCCTGGGTGCTCAATTTGTATGACACTCTTGAGAAATCATTTTTTGTCTAAATTACAATTTCCCAACTTTGGAAATGTTGACATCCTGAAACTGGTAATTCTTTGATTTGGGAGGGTGACCAGCACTTCCAACCTATCCCTACTACATAGCAGTAATGTTTCTCACCCTTGAAATGCAATCCAATGCCTCCATACATGGCTAAGTGTTGACTGGAGAAAACATTCTTTTTTCCTCTATTGTTAAGTAACTATGGTCTAAAGACAGATAATCTTAAAAGAGCATTGGACAGAAGGATATGGAAAAATCCTTGTGACCCCATTCCCATTTCCAGGAAAATAATTCAAAGGGCCTTTCATTCAGACAGGAGTTAAAAGAATGTACAGAGAAGTACCCTGTTATACTGTCTTAGGCTATGTACACACCTCTCTCAGCATTGACGGAATACATCCTTCCAACTAGAGCCTTGTCTCTTTTCTTGATGTTCCTCAATTAAACTAAAATAGAGTTGGTAATGGTATTAAGGACATTATATCAGATTTGTTGCTCAAGCCAGGAGATTTTTCCAGGGAGTCAGAAACTCTGCTTCATACATGATAGCTGAGGCTCCTGGCATTGGTTGAATACAAGAAAAGTTCAAGAAAACTGGGCCTCTTCTGTTGGCAAGTTGATTCTCCTGGTTCTATTTCCATTGTTTGGCTGAAAGCTGTTTCAGGTCACCCA